TATGGTGTAAACTAAAAATTGATAAACCTTACTTCACAGTGTTCTTGTACACTCATATGATATAAAAACATGAGAAATAATACTACATCAAGACCTGTAAATGCTTACAGACGGTATAGGAAATTTCAAAACAAAAATACATGTACCACACAAAGAAAAGTAGGAATATTTCAAATGATTATCGGAAAGTTCACACACAGCCTGCAGTATTTCAAATGACCAAAGCATCAATTGATGATTAGGACATCTTCCAAGTTGAGAATCTGTTTATGGAACAATCGTCACATATCTTCTTTCTATCTCCACATCTGCAGTCAGTAGTTGATGATGAGTAGTGCTGAGACACACTTAAGAATGCACAAACAGATATCTTCAGCTAGTCCAATTTACAGTGTGATTCCTACTATCCTCCGTCTGTAATTTGATTACACACAAATTAGGTTGATGAACAATTCAAGCTGTACACAAAACAAATTGTAATAATTGGTTTATGCATGCAGAGAGCAGGAACTTACAGTTAGCCGCTACTGATGAAGGCACAGATCTGCTGTATGGGCCACGCATACCAACTGGCCTGGGCGGCGGCGGGAAATTGGGAACACTGGGAACACCCCTTCCTGAAGACATGATGGCAACCAAAATCACCTAAATCTAGAGAGATTTACACCACACCTGATCCCAAATATAATGGACATTGGGTCCTGATCCTGACTGACAGTAGAGGTGCCACACCAAGCACGAGTTGATGGTCATACAGACCCCACATCACGAAATACAAAACATCCTGGATGTAGAGATATAACAACCTTTCAGCACTACGGACTAATATCCATGCATGAAAAACACTTGTTGACGTTCATCTCATATACTCAAGCAATTAGCAAATCCAGAACAGCAGCTCCATGCGGACTCCCCAAATGTAGGCTGTTTGGGGGAGACAGAAAGTGACACAAGAATTGTGCGGGCTGATACACAGAGATCGAAACGTTGCGTGATTCACATGCGCAGCATCTCTTACTCATGCGCTTGTCTTTAATGAGTGAGGGGCCAAGTCGTTGTTGTGACTATAGGCCTGTTCACAGATGTTCTGGATGAGCCTGTAGCGCTCGTGGGACTTCCTCCATTCATACTATGGCGGCACCAAACCATCACAAAAGTCAACTCCTCATTTGTCTTCACTGCTTCCTACTCCTTACTATACCGGCCCCCCTTCCCCGTCTTGGCAAACCAATTGCTGTCAGCATCCTGAAACGACCTCAACTGCTTACTGACAATAACTTAATAGCCAGGGAAGGAAATAGGTTTTGCCTTTTCAGGAAGACACTAACTGCCCCCCAATCTCTAGGTACCAAACATCTAATTACTCCCTTTCATTTTCTTAACAGTTTTCCAGATAAAATGAAAATGTGCTACAGTTAATACAGCCCTTCCTTTTACACCTTTCCTCCAATTCCTTCCAAAACTGATCTTAATTAAATTACAGCAACATTTTCTCACTACAAATACCTGTAAACAATTTAGTGTTCTTCTTTTGTTTGATCATTAGATGTACAAAAGCATAAATAATCAGAAAATAAAAGGCAACTATTTCAGGTATTATCAACGATATGCATAGTTCATAGTTTTTATACACACGTCTGTGGTTGATAGAAATATCTGGGGTTTTTAAGGCTCTTCAATCACGAGAGCCTCATGGCACGGAAACATTGCTGACAATAAATAAAAAACATTACCACACCATAGTTTTATAGTATTCTATCAAGAGGTGCGGTCATCAATGGGTTAAAATATTTAGCATCCTTGTCCTATAGCTAGTAGCTAGAGAACTACACTATTGGGAACAAAGTACTACTTTAACAACTTCCTTTCTTTTAAGAACATCAAACTTATTCAATAGGACTCAATAATTCGAGGACTGAACTTAATTACGCAAGGATGACTTAGACATGCACTGCCCACAAGATTAAGGAAAGGCAGACCTAGCTTACTCATACATCAGAGCACGTAATTGGACCCTAGAGTAAGTGTCACCATTGTGACAGGGATTATGTCACTTCTGGATAGTAGTATAATCACCATGACATAGTCAATATATATTGGTGTTTTCTATCAAGAGGAAGCTGCATGGGGGACACTACATTCAGTTGTGTTCCACTTGTTTCGGCAACAATTGGCCAAATGTTTAATTCCCAACTTCAGCCTTGGGCCCTGTATTACAAAGAGTTGATATCAATCGCAAGTTATTTGTGATTGATATCAATCACAACTATGTACATAAGAGATGGGAGACTGCAGACTTGTGATTGATTTAGGGACTTGATATTGATTCGGATCAACATCAACTCTTTGTAAGACGGGGCCCTGGACAGGACCCAACGTTATATCTATAAACCTTACCTAAAACCCAATTGCAACCCTAAACCTAACCCTAACCCTATACGAAATAAACCTGGAGCACCTGTCACCTGAAGCAAGCCTTGCATCACCTCTACATTCTCAATCAAGCAATTTGAATTCAAGGATATATTTCCACAAGGTGTGAGCTTAAACACTTTGTTGGAAAAGTGGTTGGTTGCTCTAAAAGATTAGAATTCATTTTTTTTAAACACCAAGTATACAGATTGGTATTTTGTTCTCCCTCATGTAATAATCTGGCTTTGGACAATGTAGGAGATCCCGATATTGCCACAAATTCTGACTGTATTCCACAATCATCTTTTAATAGAAGCACTTTCATGGAACTAAATTATAACTTAGTTTGCAAACACAGTTTTACTCTCAGGAGATTTAAGCCAAAACCATTCTAAAAGCTCAAAAGTTGTAATGGTTAGATGAAACCAAGTGTCTATACTGTTTAATGTGCTATGTGTCACAGTGTATAAAATTGATGACACTTCTATATAATGATCAGTCCCACAATTGGCCTTGTAGCAATGCTCTGAATACTAGGTGTCTATTATATGAACAATACCATTTGAAGTCATTAGTAAATATAATCACGAACTAAACCACACATCAATCATACACACCTCTTATGGACTGCAGTAACAGGAACTTGTTCTTTTAATAAAACTATAAACCTCATAATACCATATGCCCACTGAGTTGGAGTACTTTACAAATGCCGTTGGTTGATCTGTAAACATACTTTTAGGTTAGCTAGGGTTCTTTTTATTTTTCATTTCTGATACCCTCTATTGTATTCATTAACAACAGCGAGTGTAAAACCTAATCTTGAATAAACAGGGAACTGCATGTAGTGATATGGTCTTGTGATAATGTGTTCATTGGCCCATTGAAAAGTAACCATAGATAGAGCCATAGATAGAATGGGAATAAACCTATTGGAAAATCACTTACGGGTTATTAAAGGAAGGTTGTCACACAATGACATTAAAGCAGTCCCTGGGAAGAAATAAAATCTACATAATGCATTATCAGAAGAAACTTTATCCGATCCACTTATGAGTCTTGATATCTGACAAAGTCTCCTATGTTTTAACAAAAACTCAGTATCCTTCAAATACAAAGAGTGCTCTTATGTATTCTATAGAGTGATGCATTCAATAACCAGTCAAAATCTGGCCATGTAGACAGGTCAATGACTGGTCAAAGACTGGTCAAAGACTGTTGAGGGTTCTTGAGGCCTGCCGGGGGCTTATGACACTCACTAGTGATGATGAACATGATACACATTTATATATGCACAAACCAACAGAATATATTTTTGAATGATACAGAAAACTTTCATCAGTTGAAAGTTCTTTAAATTCTGATGTGCAAAAAAAAAGAAAACGTGTAAATTGTATTGAATGCAAATAAACTCATCCAAAGACCTGTTTTGCTAATTGGGAGGCAAAATTGAACTGATTTATTATCAGGCAATGGTAAAGAAATAAATGTTTTTTTAAATGCCATTGAAAATGCCCCCAATTTATGTGATGAGCATAAGGAACCAATGTTGCAGTTTTGCCAATATATTAAATCAGGTGAATTAAAAGGTGATGCGGAACATGAATACCACATGAATGATGAAATAAATGTTCCCAATAATTCCAATATGGTATTAAACTGGATTCATGAAAATCTAGGGAAGATAAGTGGTGAATTTGAAAAGTATGAGAAAGGGAGAAGGATATACTATACTATACACTATACTATGCGTCCCAGAAAAAACGAAACCGAGAATTATTGATGTTTTATCATAACTTAATCACATTTATAATTACCAAATGACACATATTTGGAAAGCTTAGATCCTCCTCTTTCATTTAATGCAACTCATATGATGCATATTTCACGTATGAATGATTAAAATGAATTTGAAGAGAGGAAACCAAAAAGTCATTTGGCGGACGGTATCTGAATTTCAAAGAGAAAATCACATTTCTAGAAAGTTGAGGTTCTGCCCTTTCATATGACACCTCAATCAGGAAGAATGAGCAAGGAATGACAAAGTTCTGTTTGTTTAAAGTAGTGCTTGCATTTCCATAATTTTATCAAACAAATTCATTTTCACTGGGTGTCTGCCATAACAACATGCAGAATTGACAACAGACTTAACTTCGTTTCGTTAAAAATCAGACATGCATGAAGTCTTTCGTCTACGGGTGATTGTCAACGAAATGGAGTTAAGTGGGACACACTTTATATAAAGGAGCTATCAGGACATGACAAGACAAGACAGGAAAGTTAGAACATTGGACATAAGTGATAACAGAATTAGGGTAATTGGCATTAGGACATACAGTATGTGATCTGTACAAGATATAAGGAGGAAAGGTTAGGTAAGGTTGAAGGATAAAGTGAAAGCATCGACAAGTGAAAAATGAAGTAACGGCCATAAAGGAGGAACATAGAGTGAAGCTGAAAATAATAACATGAACTCTACTGTGAGCCAGAAGGCCATTAACTCCAAATGACATGAGTTTATGCCCTTCTGGCTCTGATTAGACGACATGAAGAAAGATGAGATTCAAAGAAGGATGGTAATGTCTTACGCCTGTATCTGCGACTGCTTATTCTGCTTATTCTGCGGCCACCACGCACTTTCTGCTGCGCCTTCTGGAAAAGTCCCTGAGCATTGCTGATTGAAAGCACCAACTGCCCGTCATCAGCTAGATTGGGCATGGACCGTGAAAGGCGGTACTCCTTGTAACATTTACCCTGCAGGAGCTTGTTCTGACGTAGCGGTATAACGGAGGGTGAGGTGGGGCGTCGCTGGCTGTGATGGTTGTGATCTGTTTGGGTGGTATGTAAGTGGTGGTGGTTGTGGTGGTGGTGATTGTCGTGGTGGTGCTGGTGGAGATGGTGACCGTTCTTGTTGTAGCTGGTCTCGTGAATCAAATTGCTTTCCGAGTGGTACTCTGTGTAGAGATGGACATTATATGGATTCGATTGGAAGAGAGTGAGTGAGGATTGAGATGCTTAAATGCAAGATGCAATGCAAGAGCAAAGAGCAAGAGTTATTTTTGAAGTGCAGGCAAGCAGATGCTTTTGTGAAATGCAATGTGAAATGCAAAGTATAATGGAAAAGATGCAGCTCATGCAGATAGGATGCTTGATTTATTTTGAAATTTTCTTTTTTTAATACAGACACAGAGATTGCATCGAAACTGAATAAACATTTTTTATACCAACAGCATATTGTATTCCCTTTTTAAAATGTTCACAAGAACTTCAATGACTATTATTCATACTAGAATACAAATACAAAAAGAACTTAAGTACCGGTATCATATATAGCATAATGTTCACATCATTTTCAAAGATTTCAGTATGCAAAAATAATTTTCTTTCTACATACCTACAGCCTACTTAAAACTAGTCTAGATGTACACAACACTTCATGAAGACTACATGGTTACAGCCTTTTTCGCACACTAATGCACAGTTTACACATTAAACAGCATCCCCTCATGAGGGCTTAATAAGTTTCTATATCTTTTTTTTATCTTAATGAAACAGAAGTGGAATTTACGATATTAATTTCACATAACAACATTCACATTTACAAAGGGCTCACCTTATTCGAATGACATTCATACGAAACACAAGATGACACAACAACAAAAGTTTGATAAGAATTCAACATTCAAGACGAGTCACAGAGACTGCCCTAGCTTGTTAAGATATATATATATATATAGACCTTTCAACTACCCTCTAAACCCGGACATCAAACAGAGTTAGATCAATACCAAAAAACTAAAGCAACTATATAAACATAGACCTGGCATGTTACCTAATCACAGTAAACACTACAAGATTGCATGTCCCTTAAGTCGTACAATCATTGCAAAACAAAATTAATTCCCCTATGATCATCTTGTAAATGTTTCTATCATTTACTATTAAAAAAAGATTCCATTATCATAGGACAGGTTGATCTTGTAGATGCTTAGATATGCTGAGCAGGATGTGAATTTTATTTTTAATGTTTTGATAATTAAAAGATTATCAACAATGATATGGATAAGACTTTGCACCTCACCTGTGATGTATCACATTATTAGAGCTAATATTTGCTGATCAACATATAATTGTCTGCTCAGGGCCCAAAGGGCAGTAATTCATATCAATTAAAACAAGTTAACACCCTTTTAGCTCTCAAGAGACAATATATTTCAATCCTTTTGGTTTCAAAATGTATTGATCTAAACATTGGACTATGTAACAATCAAACAAACTAACAGACAATTAACAACACCAAGAACAAAATAATAATAGAACAATGACATTATGAAAATTATGAGGGGGGGGGGGTAAAGAAAATAAAGACTATGTAAAGTGAAAGAGGAAGTTAGATCCAAAGTAAAGTCAGTGGAGTATATATATATATAGCGAAACCATAGGCGAATACAAATGATAATACGTATAACCCATTAGTATCGAATGGTATGATAATAAGCATTGGGTTAATATTAATAGCTGTACAGGAGTTACAAAACTTTAAACTAGATTAGCAAAGATAAATGGGTTGCTGTCTGTCCTCTGTTGTTAAAATGAGCTAGATATGAATAAGTCATTTAACACATGATAGTGAAGTGAATTAAATCTAGAATTTTTGATAACTGGATTCAACATCGTAAATATTGTAATAGTAAATTGTCATTTTGTTCTTTGCTCCTAATGTAATGTCAAAATCAGTACATGAAACAAGGATTTGTTTGTTTATGTTGCTCAGAGCATTTTATAACCCTTACATTTTGTATGAACACATTATCTAAAATGACATCAAAGTCTGTACTGGATAGCTGCATCGAGTAGGGCACTTAAAAGGTATGTTCTCTTGACCAAATGCAAAGTAAAGATCATAATATAATGATTCAATTTAAGATAATTAACCATACTGCCTCCTCAAACCAGGTGTTTTCCGTTTTAGCTAGGTCTATGGGGGTAGTCGAAAGATTAATATGAAGCTCCACTGACATACCATAGCAGAAATGGATTTCACAAAATATGACAAGGAGAACTTTAGGGAGAAATAGATCTTTGCAGAGAAAGCATTCCGATCTTCAACATACCTATTGTACCATGAGATTTAGTGGTTGGGTGAAGACCCAATCCAGGCAATCCAGGCAAAAACATTGTAAGTGCCCCTTTCTGACCGCCAAGAACTACAAATTCTTTCTAAAGATTGTGCAATTTTTATCCAGAAACTTGCTTTTGAGGAGCTCAAAATATTGTTGAAGTTCTGACTGTAACACGTCACTCTAGCCTCCATTTTCAAACATTCATGATCGATGCATCACCAACAGCAGGGAAACTCAATGTTCAGCATCAACCACCAGAGTAACCACAATTGTTCTGTCTATTTCATTTTCAACAAGTAGCAAGGGGGTGAATATATGAAATTCCTTTGTTGGTCTTTGTACTATTGACTTTACTCATAACTTGAGCAAATACATGTAACCCCTAAGAGCACGTTGTTTGCAAAGTTATCAAGCAATTTCAAAACGTCTATTTATTCTTACCTCAGACAGAAACAGGGAATGTCCCTATCCTATATCATCTTGAGGGTGATAAAATTATTCCTATGTGGTAATGTTTGCACCCATACCTCACCAGTAATTAAGGTAGGGGAACAATTTTGTCAGAAAACACTTTATATCAGGTTATTTTTTCACATTAAAAATCCAATGATATAAAATCAAACCAAAGTGGGAGAGCCAGAAGGATATAAGTTAAAAATTATACTTATTGACTATTTCCCCCCAAAGCTATTTTTCTTAATAATTACAATACAATTGAATTATTACTGGTTGTGTCTTACAAGTGATTTTTGCCAACAAACAAATGTACAACAAAGAGAAGGCGCTATATTCACTTTCTATGCAGTTTTATATATATTTGGTTTTAAACTTTCTCAAAATGTTTTTTTAACATATTATAACTGATAATATGCACAATCCACTATTCACATTCTTTGCAGTTTTATCATTTGGTTTTAAACTTTCCCAAAATGTATTAAAACAGGTAATAAGCACACTCCAACCAGACACAAAGACATTAGAGATGATAAAATCACCTTTAAAGGTGTGTCACGACTCCATGCTTTCTTTATCTTTATGTAATTCGATATGCTGTATATGCCAATGGGTATATAAAATGATCCTATGTATTGATGTTCAATGTATACAGTGCAGCAACATCATATGGCTTTACCTATATATATCATAAACAAAGATAGTGGCCAAAATATTGTTAGCTTACCTGTATTTTAGCTGATATACTTCCACACAATGTTTCATCAACAGAGAAATACATGCACCACCTCAATATACACAAGACTTCTGGCTTGTATGTTATATTCCCACAATTAGAAACCACTTCACTGAATGCACAACAGTATTGCACAATAAAGTTCCTCATGGTACTGTATGTACATACAAAAGGGAAATCCCACGATCGAGAGATAGAATGAAGCCTTGATCTCCATTCAACTCTAGCCTCTCTGTATACGCAAACAACCGAAAGATTCCTTTGATGTTCACAATGTATGGCATAATGGCAGAGGGGAAGAGATCGATCATTGCATGCCGAATCGTACAAGGGAATTCCCCTAGAAGAGGGTAAGAAAAGGGGTCAAGGCTACCTTTAAATCAACTCTTGTCTTGATTTTATTCCACTTATTCATCTCTATCATTGCAATTACGTCATTACTTATGCTTTCCTCCAAACTCTGTAGGAAACGGAATTGACGGCATTGACAAAGATAGTGCTGCTAGAGTGATTATTTGTTTCATGCTGAGAAAGGTCCATTTCCCTTTTCACAGAATACGGAATTTCCTGTAACCAGTGACTGCATGTGAACGTACAAGCAGTCAGGTCTGGGTTCGCAAAAAAAGATATCATCATATATTCTACAAGGTTTCATTACAGTGTTCTTATTCAACGTATCATAAAAACATCATAATCTATGCTGTTAAATTCTTTTACAAGTTAATAGATTATGATTCAAAAGAGAAACTAGGATCATATTGTCTTGGTAAATGACCATTAAAAAATACTTCAATTAACCCTTTTGTAATCACAACTTCAAAACACTTTAACTGGACACAGGGTATTTCTACTGTATTGAAAATATTAAACCTGCAAAAAAAGTATGCCAGTGTTTTCTCATGATTTATTACCTTTATACTGTATTCATCAGAACCAAAATACATGTACCTACTCCTTTTTATTTCTAATTAACAAATCTCACATAGCAAACGATGGTCCATTAAAAATCACATAAAGAAGATTTATGGGCAAGTCACTTTCTATCCGCCTTTTCTTGGTGTATGGATCTCTAATATTCCACAGAAGTTTTAATCACTGATACATCTTGATAAATGTCCTACATTAAGAGCCTTTTTGGAGTGCTAGAGGGGGGGGGGGGAGGGGGGTTGATTCACACCTTTACCTTCAAGTTCTCATTTTCAAGCAAAACATTAAGGGGCTTATTTGAAATCCTAGAATAATCGTGTGTTACAACATATAAGTACAGTGTAACATTTCAGAGTGAACATCTGGAGTTGTGTAGTCAGTTGATGATGTTAAGTAGAATTAGGATAATTAACACAGAGAATCTGCATATTTAATTAAACTTTAGTTAAAATCTAATACAATTTAATGGTCAATTACAAAAGTTTTAAATAATCTAAATCATTATCTTAAAATTGGCTCATGGTTTTACAACCAACCAAAAGCTAAAATACGGCTATGGTTTTTAAAACGGATCAATTGGTAATGTCTGCATTAGTAGAGATGATCATGTAGCTATCTTCAGGGGGATAACAAAAAAGAAGCCTTGAATTTTGGTTTATGGTTAAGCCCTCCTTACTATCTTGACATTTAACTTCTGACTCACGCTTTTCAAATCATGAGAGTCAAAAACCTTTTTTAATGTGACGACTTCACGTCTAGACAAGCATGGCTCTTTATCGTTTTGCATATTGATGAGGTGTATATGCATTTACTCTTAGAGTTTCATTGGGCCCATTTTTAGTTTATTCGAGCCTATAATTAGGAACAGGGAGAGAGGAAAAACGTCAATGTGGCAGAATATAGATCATGTGATTGGCCTTTTCTCAGTGCTGAGGGTAAAGGGAAGGAAAAACTATAGATCCATGAGTGAGATACAAACTCCTTTTAAAGGGATGAATCAAATAGTTTTCCTTTACATACACAGAGATTAGTTGGATTGATACCGTCTGAACACAGTTGTGACGATAAAGCATGAAACACAAAAAATATTTTTATTTTAATCAAATAAACTTGAAAATGGTAAATATACAGACACGATATGGTCAAATTTTAATTTTAAAAAAGAAGGCATCAAAGACCGTTGTAATATTTTGTTTGTGTATTTTAGAAAGGACTTAATTCATGCCTAAATTTTGATGATACATTGTAGGTCAAAGTATTTATCTCTGCATGAAAACAAGGCTTAATTTAATTGTTACAAAGAACTACGGTAATTGCCTTTTGAAATGAAGGCAATATTACTAAAATAAAAATTGCACAGTGTCACATGTAGAACTGGTGAGCACTACAAAACACATTGATTTCCCATGTGTTAAAATTTGATATTAATTTTGAAAAACACAAGCATACACCATAACAAATATATAACTGCAGTTACTGAACACACTGGTTACTATACACAAACATTTAGATTAAATTCCACAAACAAACATTCACACATAGTACAAAAAACGAATATCAATAATCATTGTCAGGCTAGATATAAAAATGACCTTCAAAGTAAACCGCAATTTCAGTGAGAGAAAAAGGCACACATACACAAATTTGATAAATTAAATGGATGAATCTTCTACTGCAGTATTCTACATGAATGTATGTATCCCACAAACCCACATAAAAATCAAACTTACCACGGAGACCTAAACCTTGAAATTCCCCATCTTCTTCATCTCGATATTCCTCCTCCTCCTCCTTCTCACCATCTAGAAACCCAAACTCACTCTTTTCATCCCAGAAAACATCATCCTGCAGATCTCCACTGTGTATGCTTAAGGTGTCTTTAAAGATGCATGCATGGTATTTAGGAGGAAAAATAGAAAGACAGGCGACATGCAAAAGCCATGCAAAACATAACAAAATAATAAAAGCAGGCATTTTTTAAAGATGAATTTCGAAAGAAAATAATATGAAAGCAAATCAAAGGAAAGGAAGTGTATATGTCAAGGATGATTCAATAAAATGGTTTCCTGCCATGTCCCTTTACTATTTTGCAAGCATTTTTTTTAATTTGCAGCTCGTACATTTACGGACCATGATATATTTTAGATCATTTTGTGTTTCCTTGCATTGCTTTGCTGATATATACACACCCTTCCACCATAATGAAATTTGTTCAATACAAAGAAAACTGCCGAGAACTAAAATATAGGCAATATCACTTCCTCAACAAAATCTTACTACTGTTCTAAAGTTTCTCCAGAATTTTTCATTTATGAGCATTACGAAAACCAAAAACATTGCACTGTTCTTTTCCTCTACAATTGTTACAAACATACTTCTTATCAACGATAAATAGTAAAACTCACTGAAGATTCAATTTCCATGGCATGGACACAAAACTACAATCTTGATTGAATAGCTCGTCTAACGAGCTACTAACTTCTGCGGGTGACTACATATTTTGATTATATCTGTGTTTTAATTATATCTTCTTATGTTTAATTACATCTTCATCCCTCTACTTCAAAATCAATATCAACAACATGGAGAGCTGCAAAATAACTTACTTTTCCTCAATGTCAACACATTCAATCCTCTTATGCACAGACCAACAAGAACACTGTATAGACTAATGCCTATGTACTTGTGCTGAAGAGGGATATGAATGGATACTTGCTGTCATCAAGGACTATGATTCCTGACCATTAAAAATGATGGATTAACGAGTAACAATAATGAGATGAGATTATGGTTTCACTTGTGGTTTCAGTCAGTCATGATCTCGCTAGCTAGGGGTGAGCAGGGGCAGCTATAGCTGCATGTCCCCCTGTATTATATCGGTCTGACATATTACGTATATGATTTGGTAGGATTTTGACAAGTTTATATTCTTGTTTTTACATATTTTGAATAATATTCTGGTCGTTTTCCTCCTCCTTTCTCCCAATCCCTGCTCCCTCCCCTTCTCTCTCTCCCTCCCCTTCTCTCTCTCTCCCTCCCTCTCTCTCTCTCTCTATCTCTCTCTCCCTATCTCTCTACCATTTTTTCTTCTCTCTCTCTCTCTCGCTTTCTGACTTCCTGCTTCTTATAATACAATTATTATCATATGTTGAGGGAAAAAAACACCTTTTAAAATATCTCTGATTCCAAGAATTACACACAATAACATTATTCTTAAATGGCGAATGTGCCAAACTGTACATGTCATGAGAATGAGGAAATGTACTATGATATTTTCATCTTTTTGATATAACTTTGTTCTTCAACATGCCATGCTTTCATACTTTTAAAAGAATTTTTACCATTATCTGTGGGGAATAGACAAGTAGGCATAAATGTATAACATCATATTTACTTCTCTGGAAGTACTGTCCCTCCTCTGTCTTTATATTACAAGCACCACTATGCCAATGGTTTTCATTTATATATGATTTAGGGCCTTCATGCAGGAAAGTTTAAAAAACATGCACTCATCATTTTTGCAGCTTTTAGAAGGCTGTACGTGATTTAGCAAATAAAATTAGCATTTGATCAACCCTACAAAGACAACATTTTAGTTACTAATTACTTTTTGTTGTGTCCCATTTTTCACATTGCTTTCTATAAATATTAACCCCCTGAATTAAAGACAATTTTATTTTGATATAATATGATTTTCAATATTCTCTAGTCCGGGTAATCCCAAGCTTAGCATTCACAGGATTAATAAGACTTGTTTTAAGTTATGTAATTTGAGGGCCGGTCCCAGTTGCCCGATGACAATAACTATTACTGTAAATGTTCCCTGATTTTTTTTCTTCTTCTGACGTTTACATGGAATGAGTATATGATATGTCATTAAGATTTTTATAAATTAAGAGATGGAATCATTTGTATATCCTAAGCCTATTCTACATACCAGGAAACTTCAGGACTTGATTTGAAAATGATTTAAATACTAATATTTATCGTAAGCCCTTTATGTATGACTACCATACATAGAAGACATTATGTGCACAGTTGAGTATGTATCATCAATGTAGTTATCAGCATGATCATCACTGCTATCAATCATTATATTCCATAATGTAGCAGAACTAAGAGCCTAGCTACTCCTCAACATATGGTACACAAGTTGTTGACTAGATGGTATAAACTCTCCCCAGATAACAATTAGTGGCTCATACCCCTCCCCCTAGTCAAATACAATCTCCCTGTTTTTATTGATATATTCAGTAAACTTCACATCATATAGGCCTATATAATGCATGGTATCCTAACATTCTACAATTCTAATACAATGGTAATGTGTAAGGTCTGCTCTGCTTTTTGCAGGAAAAATATCATGATGCCTCATGACATTCATCATATTGTGTGATAACGCATAAATGGGGAAGCGGTATACAATAAAAGCAGCTTTAGAATCATAACCTATTGTTTATAATCTCTCCTCTGCTCTCTGGCTGGCCGAGTCCATAAATCATGAATGAATTTCAAATGCTATGAAATAGTTTTGAGAGGAGTCTGTGACACCTGCCCCTTCTCTTAATCACACACCATTAATCATTTCCTGAAACCTGATAGGTGGTGAAGAATTGTACCTCTTAAGCCAGACATGTACCTCTCGAGCCAGACATGCATGGAAGCCCCAACCAATGTAGGGATAGGTAATAACTTGCTTCATAATCATACAATAATTTTGTTTGTTTACTTGACACTAAACACCTTCAAGGTGTGAAAGTGACATGAAGTGTTTAAAAAGCATGCTAATAGATTTTGATCTTCAAAGAAAGAATTGATTCAATAACTATGAGGTAGCATTTCAAAATTTGATGAAATGTAAATCTTTTAGAGAAATATTGCATTCAGTCTTATCTTTTTCATTAGCTTCTTGGTAGAAAATGAGAATATCTAAACAATATGCAAAATAGAATTTGCCCTAGTAGTTTTGTGTGTTGCTAAAATATATTTTTTCCCTATTTTTTTCCTATTTTTTCCCTATTTTCTGGAAATGCAGCCTATTTTTTCCCTATTTCCTTCAAGAAAATAGGAAAAAAATAGGGCTATTTTTTTCCTATTTTCAAGTACAAACTATTTTTTCCCTATTTTTTTCACCTATATTTTTTTCAGACTATTTTTTTCCTATTTCCTATAAAAAAACAGGAAAAAAATAGTCCTATTTTTTTCCTATTTTCAAGTACAAACTATTTTTTCCCTATTTTTTTCACCTATATTTTTTTCAGACTATTTTTTTCCTATTTCCTATAAGAAAACAGGAAAAAAATAGTCCTATTTTTTTCCTATTTTCAAGCACAAACAATTTTCCCCCCATTTTTTTTACCTTCAACTTTTGTGGACTATTTTATTCCTATTTTTTTAAAGAAAATAGGAAAAAAATAGTTCTATTTTTTCCTATTCTCGAGTACCAAACTATTTTTTCCCTATTTTTTCACCTTCATCTTTTTCAGACAATTTTTTCCCTATTTTTTCACCTTTATCTTTTTCAGACTTCTTTTTACCTATTTGCGAGTACTATTTTCTTCCTATTTTTTGCACTTAAATTTTTTATGACATGATACAAATTTGTAAACTATTTTTTGTCTATTTTCTAAACTTGCATATTTTCATTGTTTATGACTGGCATCCTATTCAAAAAGCCCGCTTCTCCTGCCATTATCTCTGTTGTTCATTTTGCGACTTATTGGTGGTTTTTAGCTGTGGGGTCACATATTGAATAGTGAGCTCAAAGATGACCATAAATAAACAATGTGTAAAAAGAAAATGTACGAAATTTCAATTTTTTTCCTTTATTAATATTCTTGATTTTATTTACAAACTATAGTAGTGACTAGTGCACTCAAAGATAACCATACATAAATCATGTGTAAAAAGAAAATGTACACATAGAAATTTCAACCAAAAAAAAATCTCCTTTATTAATAGAAAAAAAAGCATTCGATCGAGATATTCCCGTTCTATGTGTGTGCAAAGTTTCAACGTAGAGGACAGTACGCAAGTACGTAATTTGAAAATCACCCGTTATTTTTTTTCCCCACTTGCACTGCTATGCGCATCGGACTTTTGCTGATTTTCGTTCATCAAACGTCTCCAAATCACACCAAAATGTCTTCCAGCAATTATTCTAGCGATGAAATTTCATCAAGAGATAGTGACTCCTCATACTCCGATGCCTCCTTATCCCATTTTAGTGATTCTTCCCAAGAAAATGAGCCCGACAAATGTTCAAAATATTCTAGTCCCACTCGTAGAGAAATGAGTTTGTTGTCGAATGACGGAACATCGACGAGCGGAACTGGCCCCAGAAAACAGCTGAAAAGGTACGTTTATTTCTGAAACTTAATTATATTATGATATATATATTTTTATTGTGTCTGTTGTTGAATATAATGCTATTTCATAGACATAGTAGGCCTATAGAATGTTATTTTACGTATCAATATTCCCATGTAGTGTTGAGGTTGTAACTTAGTCTTAGACTACAAAACTTCTGAGTGAAGTGTACGTAGGCCTAGTGAATCTCCAAGTGCAGTGTAGTGTCTGTTAGTGAATGAGTGAATGTAAACAAACGTGATTACAATAAATCCACGTAGAAATTTCAGATTTTGTACCATTACTACGTCTGTCAATTATATATCCTTGCATGATATAATGTTTTGATGTGGTTTTAGGCTAAATTGTATCTCAAATTATTTTTCTAATTCTAGGAATCAGAAAACACAACCTGCTAAAGTACCACGCAAGAAGAAGAGCAAGTCTTCCAAGTCCGAGAGTGCATGTGTCTGCGAGGTATGTCCTTACTAAGTAGAAATAGAAATCTATTGTTGATAATTTTTTTAGGTTTATTTATTTCATGTTTGTTAGTTAAGATCTGACATCAAAATATTAGAGTAGGGGTCTAGTTTACCTCATCATTAATATGCTAGAACAATAATTTGCAGGTGGCACAATTTCTACCTAGATCTACATTATTTTTCTCTTTCCTTTTTATTTTTTTCTTCAACAAATTGTTCCTTTACTATTTTCTTTTCTGTGTTTTATGTTTTATTTTATGTATGTTCACCCAATATATCTAAGAATAAAATAACTCTAATTAATTGCCTACCTGAGTGATTTACATTTCATGCACCTTGACAGCTCTTTGATGACTCCGTTGTTTCACCATCCGTTCGTCGTCAGCCTGGCATCTTTTTTGCTATCATACTTTTGTACACACATGTTCTGTGCCTTTGAATTTTTCATTATGAAATACATAAATACTTGTACTAAGTATTAATTGCATGTTCATAAATGTACCAATGCATGATTATTCTAACCCCTAACTCACATTTCATTTATATCTTTACAGATCCATTGAAACTAATCAAGCTACAATGTACATGTAACGTACAACCACCATTCGATGCCTGTGAACAGCATGACCAACATCTGTATCCTTTACATTAGTATTTGTTTCCATTTTATTATGTAATTCTTATGTCTAATCATTGAGATTCATAGGCAAGTACAACATGTATGTGTACACAATGAAGATAAAGGACCATGAGACCATTACTTATGATACATGGTAATGATGGTAGGCCTATACTTTGTAAAACTATTTGAAAATAGTAGCATGTAAGTCTCTCATTTTCTTGTTTATATATATCTCAATGACATGACATGTCATTGATTTTGTAGTAAGTGTTTCTAGATTATGATGATTGTATTAAGATTTTGACAGTTCAATTGAGATTGAGAAAATTATGTAACATGTCAACTGTACTATAGAGCATGCATGCATTGTTGAAAAATCTGTTATATGATTTATTTTATTTTGTTATCTTTGTAAATAACGAGAAAAAAAAAATTATTTGTCATGATTTTCTTGAGGTTTGAAAATGTGATTACATTATTAAGAGCACTTTGCAATTAAATTGTAATAAAAGAGACAGAAAACAACACTCTCATGTCCAGAATACTGCTTTATTTGGTTACTAGTGAGGGAGAGAGCTTGTGATCGCCTGGCATATCCACATCGGCTCAGTAATAGTCCTGAAACTCACCTGAATACTTTATTTGAACACAAATAGAAAGCTACATTCTAGGTGGATGATATTTTTTTAAGGTGGAGGCATATAGGAGACGCAGTCGCATTTGTCTTGTTTTTTTTTTAGAGTATAATCATAGCAAACCATGAACAACTCTATTACTACAACATGTACACTACAGTACTTAACCAAAAATTGTAAATATCAGTTAAGTTCTTTTATTTATTTGCTTATATGAACACACATACTATACTAAACTCATGTCATTGTGTTTACCTCTCGAAAATAAAGTACATGTATTTTATTTGACACATTCCCTTTTATTATTTTTGTTTGTTACAGTCCACTGCCATTATAACGAGGTGCTCGGGACCAAGCCAATTTCCTTGTTAAAATGAAATCATGTTATACTCAAGTTACTGAACACATTGGTTTGTTTAAAATTGGGACTGATGAGAATTGCCTGATAATAAAATCTTGGTGTATCCATGTTCGTTATAATAGGAGTGGACTGTATAACATTTTCCATATACCCATTGACTATTTTAAATGTTCTACTGAATGGATTGGACTGAAAGGATGAAGTGAATTTGGCAAACTGAGTAGGTGCATCGATGCAGAGAAAAGAGCTGTAGGAGTAGGGTGACTATTCTACAGTGGAAACTTTTGACAATGAGGTCATGTGCAACCAAGAAATCTTAACCCCCAAAAGCTGTTAAATTACCTTGTCATTTCAGGTATAACTGATCTCTTTATATCAAGTTTGCACTGTATGATTTAATTAAATGTACAGAGTCGTTGACTGGATGTGTGAGATGGTAGTGCTTGAGAAATCCATGAAAGTAAAGGATGAGTGATCCCCCCCCCCTATTTCCTGACTATTTTTTTCTGATTTCCTCACTTATTTACTATTTTTTTCATATTTCCTTACTATTTTTTTCCTATTTTCTTACTATTTTTCCCTATTTTCTTACTATTTTTTTCCTATTTTCTTACTATTTGTTTTCCTATTTCCTTACTATTTTTTCCTATTTTCTTACTATTTTTTTCCTATTTTCTTACTATTTTTTTCCTATTTTCTTACTATTTTTTTCCTATTTTCTTACTATTTTTTTCCTATTTTCTTACTATTTTTTTTCCTATTTCCTTACTATTTTTTTCCTATTTTCCCCTATTTTCATACTATTTTTTTCCTATTTTCTTACTATTTTTTTCCTATTTCCTCACTATTTTTTTCCTATTTCCTCACTATTTTTCACTGTCCACTAGCACCTAGTTATCACTATTTTTTTACTATTTTCTTCACCATTTTCTACACTATTTTTTCCCTATTTTTTTCCTATTTTCAGGTCTGAAAAATAGGAAAAAAATAGGAAAAAAATAGAAAAAATTGTTTCAAACCTATTTTTTTCCTATTTCCAAAACTATTTTTTCCCTATTTTTTCCTTTAAAAAAAATAGGGAAAAAATAGAAAAAAAATATATTTTCGGGACTATTTTCCCCCTATTTTTCCCCTATTTTTTTCCTATTTTTTTACGACTGGGGTGATCATTTCAATTCCTCCTCTTTCCTCTCGTCTCACCTTTATAAAGTTAATAAAATAAAGTTTGAAATTTATCATCACAATTTGGAGCTCTTGATCGTTACAATACTCATTTTGTCTGTGAAGTTCTTGTGGTGTTAATAAACAGAACCCACAGAGGGAGCTCTTCAACTTTACCAAAACGTTATGTTAAATCTGCTTTATAGTTGGCTAGACTACTCACAATGTACCTACTGTACATTCTCTCACCCCACCCCACCTCTCTCTCTCTCTCCCCTCTTTCTCTCTTCCCTCTCTCCCTCTATCTCTAATCTTCTCTCTCTTTCTCCTTTCATCCATTTCTGCATGTGTTCTGCTAAGAAAGATCTCTAAATTCAATGGATTCCTGCAAAAGCATCCTTTTCGAAAGGGGTAAAATTTCTTACAGAAAATGGGACAAAAGCAATTTTTAAAATGAAAACAAAACAGCACGGTTCTCATTCTTCAAATGCACATGCAAAACCATGGCAAAACTACAAGTCGCAAGCAATACAAAATTTATCATTAATTTTATTCAATTGTAATGAGCATATATAAACTTAAACATTCCAGATGACTATATTATGGTTTTCCTCTGACCTTCACAAGACCCCTTGATTTTAAACTCTTGATTCTGGCAAAAACACATTAAGTTATTTTTATCGGTCATTTTTACTTATTCAATTTTTACTATCCTAATTTTGTTGTTACAGAGTGCGTGGAAGTTACATAGTGCGTGGAAGTGTAAAATCTCAAAGGGAAATTTCCATCTAATTTATACAATACCCCACCACCAGCCTTTTATAATTCATTTTATTAAAGCAACAGTATATTATTTTTAAAGAGTGCAGCTCTAATTGCTTGAAATAGAATAATGATGCTTTGCTAAGTTAACGGATCAAAGCATAATTGGGGGAACCAAAAACAGATTTTAATCAACCCCTCTGGTAATTTCATTATCTCACACTATGTAGTCCATCAATTTGAAGTGAATTATTTAAGAGGCTACTGCATTGCTTGTATATATTCATAGGAAATGCACTTGCATATCTTCCCGACCGTTTCAAGGTTTAAAATCTTAGCACCTGTTTTCCAACTTCAACTATAGAGATAGAACATTATTCTTCTCTCATCATTGGAAAAATGGCCAAAACGGAATCAGATATATAATTGGGTGAATGATCATCTTGAAAATATTGTGCAGTGTAATGCTACGGTGGGGTTCTTTCTGGTTGGTTACCATGTGCAAAAGTAAATGGTGAAGTCTCCTAAAAAGGATACAGACTGTTAATAAATTTTGATTATAATGAAGATCTAGCCAGAGGTGCCCCCCCCCCTAAAAAAAAGTGCCCCATAGGTGCAACCCCCAGTTTCTACTAGTTATGTAACATGTATTGCTTGTGACACTGTTTGCATCAGAATGCTGAGAGCATAATTCCCACCTGACAATAATCCTTACCTTCACTACTATCTCCATCTTCATCATCATCGTCAACATACTCATCATCCTCCTCATCATCACCCTCATCCATCTCCTCTGCGCTGTTCCCGTTACTCTCCCCTCCTCCTCCTCCTCTTAGATCCTTGGTACTGTTTGTGAGAGGGGCCCCCGATTCCTTGCGTGCCCGGGCCACGATGCCCTTCCCCTCAGAAAGCTTCCGCCATTTTTCCATGGCGGGGGCTTTGTTCGGGGACTTGGTTGGGCCATCGTCGATGAGGTTGCACCGGGAGTCATCCCCACTATCCTTGCTGATAGCTGCATCGCAAAGAGAGAGAGAGGGAGAATAAAATAATTGTTGAACAAAAGATAATGTAAAATGGTAGTAGGTTTACAGATAATTCATTGCTATTTTGTATAAATTACATTTACTTTACAAAGACTACAAGCTTGTTAATTTATTTTCAATCAAGTGTATTAATCAGTTGACTAATGAATTCCCTAATTTCCATAAATTTCCTCCAGGAAAAAAATGACTCCTGTAAGCATTGAGATAATGTCAGCCTTAAAAAAGAAGAAAACATATAAATAGTTTTAAGTTGCTCGATGAATACTCCCCTGTACTAATCATGTTACAACAAAGAACCTCCTGTCATTCACTCACACATTTCCATTTCATACTTGAAAAGTAATTTGAAATTCAATTTCATACACACTTTAAAAACAATTAGAGGAGCACTAATGTTTTTTTAATGATCTCATTGAAATAAAAAGTTATCTTTCTCTTTCTGTATTTTCTTTCCATGACTACATCATAGATCACCACTTATGACAAAGATATTTTTTTCCTTCCAATAACTGCTGTAAATTTGTCACAGAGCAAGCTCTGTAGATTAAGGGACTATTTCTGATAAAGTAAACAGTGCCCTCATAGGTAGTATTGTGTCAGCTGAACAAGGAAATGTTTGATTTTGACAGAGTACTTCAAAGTGTCATGTTGATGTTTGGGCCTCTCATGTGTAATTTCCTTACTGGTGATTGTGTATGTTAGATTTTTAACCCAATCTAACATCTTTCTTTCTTCTGATTAATAGAGGGTATAGCTATTTCTAAAGATCAATCTAGCTACAAACACATTATTACCTTCTTGTCAAGATTAGTTAAAGTTGATACTCTAAGACAATCCCAAATACTGAGATAATTACATAAATAGAAAGCTTTTAACCCCCATAATAACACCAAATGGTGTCCACCCGACAAAACAAGTTTAGAATAATGAATTTATTCGAGTAAACTCTACCAAAATATCTAAGTCTGAAACCCGGAAGTGCACGTAGAGTCGAGCCTCTATCCGTGACGTCACGAACGGGAGTCATGGGCTCAGTGAGAGTGAATGGCAGTGATATCCCTACGTAAATGCTATCCTGTCAGAGCTTAGATTTGTTGTTGTTAAGGAGTATATTTGATGGATTTTCTGTTTTCATTTGAATGAAGAATAACGAAGCAACATTTTCCAGTCGCTGATTTCTTTTCATATCCTCATATTCACCTATTGGGTAGAGATTTAAGACGAGTTTACTGCTTATAGGAATTAAAGTTAAATCGTGCACTTATGAATAGGCGGATGCATTATATTGTCATGATGAGCAGTTTTGAAAAACGAATAGGTCTAGAACTATGATAGTACTTATCATAGATGTGTGTGCCGACTGCCTCAAAAAAGGATACAGTACCAGTTAAACATTTTATGCAGGGTTCTTGTTAATTTTTCTGATAGCAGGCTATTTATGATTTACAGGAGGCTACTAAAATTGCAAAAGAAAAATCTCTGTGCGCGTAGCGCACATCACGAGCGCGAAGCGCGAAGTCCCTTGCGGCCGGGGTCCAGGGCCCGCCCAAGGGCCCTGGAAGCTTTAGGGTTTTAGATGCTCTCTGGTGCTATCTTAGCCTTATTTTTGAAGATATGACCACACTGTATGAGCCATAGTTTAATGATAAAGATCATGAATATTTTGGCTGAATAACTTACTTTTCATATGATATACAATATGAAATGAAAATGCTCCATTATTGTTTCTGATAAATCAATCATATTTGTGATGAATCTACAATTTTGAATTACATGATAATGATACAAGGTAGTCCTGGGCAAAAACGGTTAACTGACGTTTACAGGACCTTGTCAGTGAAGAAAATCGTTTGCGATAAAAAATAAAAAAAATAATAATTAATAATTATTTCTATAGACTCTAGGCCTACGAAAAAAAAATAGTTTTCGGTACTTTTCTTCCAATCGCCATGCGCTTAACGTTTATATGCAATATGCCACCTCTGTTTTTCGAATCGGTAAAATAGATCGCTAAAAGTAAAAGTAAAAATGTTACAACACGAAAAGAAAAGATCCAGAAAAAAACCTTTTTGTTGTTGTATTGAAACAATTATCAAATAGATATAAGGATTATATCGGTGTTGGACAAAGTTCTGAGTACATATGAGTACAAATTTTCATTTTTTATTCACAATACGGTAGATCTAACTTAGGATTACGAAGTATAAATAGCAATGCCAATGCGGGTGATCATTTGGACGCAGAGCGAGCTCTGGAGCTGGCCTCTTTAAATTATTGCGAGCGGAGTTCGCTGGCTTGAGCTTGTTTACGAACGTACGTCTACGGTCTAGTCTCTGTGACAGTGTATGTGTATAGCGTGCCGCACCGGTTGTGCAGCACTCGTATTCTGAATCGAATCGTGCATCGCCAAATCAATCACAGTTTCACACTAGGCCTGAGTCAAACCGTTTAACCGACGGTTATACGACCGCATTCATCAAAACCGTTTTCATTTCTCGCTCCGGTTAACCGTTATTTGCATACATTTTGGAATGTGCTAATAGCCGATGATAAAGATAATCAAAGAAACCGCAGTGTAATGTTACACCCTGGCCGCTGCGCGCCAGCTTTCTGGCAGCAGTAATTCATATGAATGAATTTGTAAACAATAAAACAACCAGCCCCCTTCTCTCTTTTCTCACCCTCTTTATTCCCTTCTCTCTGCAATGTGTTCATCGCTCATGTACCTTTTCTTATTACTGCACTCTCAGCTCACAACTTTCTAAATGTTTACACATTCGATGGTCAGTTCCTCTCACATCCCTTCTCCCCCGAGTCTCTCTCTCTCTCTCTCAATATTAATATCCATCCCTTGCCGACTCGCCCCCTAAAATAATGTTCATATATAAATAAAATACAACAATATTGATAACAATAATAATTGAATTTTTAGAAATATCAATCAACAAAGTCTTGGATATTGTGAGTAATTTAAGTTTTTGATCATTCTTCAATTCAGCCGATTAACACAGCCATCCTTTCTATCGAGTCTCACTTGTCTTACTTGTCTTACTCATGTCCCTGCCTCGTCCATGCAGGGACATGCAGGGACATGCTAGCCCATGCGTGCTCTCTCAGTCACACACACATGTACACACAAACCTCCGGCGCCCAAATACACTGTACATACACACAGATGGAGAGCTCATGCTTGTCACATGCACACTTGTGGGCGTGGCTTCTTGACCTCCCACTGAACTGGGTACGGTGAAAGCACGCGCGGTCACCAACCTGTAATTTATGCTGGTATCAAACTCCACCCACATAGCTAGAGAACCTTCCTCATTGGTCACTAACTTGGATCAGCTCATTGCAGGGTGTGTCTTGGGTGTGTGTGATACACACTTCCACATAATTTCATATGGCAATGATACATGCAGGGAGCTCTCTCCCTGACCATGTGCAAACATTGCATTGCAAAGGCATATATAAACACGTCACAGATCAGCTATCTTCACAGAGTAACTTTGCAAGGTTAATCATGATATCAAGTTCAGATGAGGAATAATAAGACATGTTTTATGTTGTTTATTAGTGGTCTCTGTTTATCAGGATGACCCAATTTGTGCCATAGTCCGGGGCTGGGAATGCTCAGCCCGACAGTCTGAAGACCAGCAGGGTTTGAGATAGCGACTTGACCGAATATGATGTGATTTTTGTATTATTATTTTTTTTTTTTGGAGAGGCTTACAGCCGGCTACGATTGCCGTTACAGCCGGAAAAAATAGCCGGTTGCCGGCTATTAACAAGAACCCTGTTTATGTTGTAAAATATCAAACTTGAACGAGATCATGCAAGCGCGCTTCCTCTATAATATTTTGGCGAGTGATGCGGCTCTTGCATGAACGTTCGTAAAGCGAGCAGAATCGGGAGGTAAGACCAAGCCGCTGCTCTAGGCGCTGCTTGCTTGTGATGGAACGTACGTGCGCTAGTTATATGTTTATCGACAATTGCAAGAGAATGAAAGCGACGTTGCCAGCTAAGAAAAACAACTAACAAAGACTTGCTCCTGACTACCGGTGTCAGAATTGGTAGATGAAGGATGTTCAGGGCCAAGGAAGGCGAAAGACATGGGAAAAAGGAAGAAGAAACCATCGGGAGATCGCTGTAGTGTATGGTAATGAACTGTGCATGGGTAGACAGCTACTGTTCACTCCGTGCCTGGGCCGATTTCAACACCAAAACAAAAATTACATGGTGAAAATATCGACTAATAGCACATCGTTGGCATGTATATGTCATAATTTTTAAAAGGGGAATTGATATTAATACTATGAAGTACTAGGGGAAGGTAAAGAATTGTACATAGAATTATGATTTATTAGACTTTTCAGCCTTTGAAACAAAAATATGCAGAAAATCGTATCACTCTGCACATGTTTGCTATGGAACATCCGGGTACGTGAATATACTCTCTCCCGGACGTGAGGTCATAAATAGTAGACCAGCGCCGTGACTGATTTTCTATGCAAAGAGAGGCGGATATTTTAGACATTTCAATTGAGGATTTCGAGTAGACAGATTTTTTTGTGATATGCTAAGTAATTGAAAAACTTAAAAATAATATATACTTGCCGTAGGTAACAAATTAAGGGACATTTATTTGCTTAGAGTATCAACTTTAACGTTTAAAATGAAAACAATGAATCATGTATCTATCAATAAGAATAAGTACTGCAAAAGTGAAATTTAATCTTAGTTCTGCAACCAAAACATTTCTAAGAGTTACCCCTCTTTGAAAAATTGAAATCCAATTATGTCAAAGAGATATGTAGCTACATGCTATTGTAGCATGTCATAATGAGAGATAAACATAACTATATTCCTCTTGCAATCATAACTAACAATTACATAGCTTAGGATTTATATTTGATCACTGTTGACACTATTTAATACTCATGATTATGTCCCCACTTCGTCAAAACCGAAGTCTGCTACTTCCACTACTT